CCAGAGTCAGATGGTCAGACGGAACGTGCCAACCGTGTTCTCGAAGAGATACTTCGAGGATACGTACACTCCTTTAAGAGTTGGAGTGAGTTTTTGCCTATGGTAGAGTTTGCCATCAACAACTCGGTGCATGCGTCCACGACACATACACCGTTTTACGTGAATGGCTTACGCCATCCGCGTGTACCCACCTTACTAGAGTGTAACTCTGGTTTAAGGGAGGGAGGGAGATTCGCACGAGCAAAAACCGATTTGGTTCATGCACATCACGCTCTGACGAAGAGGTCATTGCGTTTGATACCGATATTGATAACATCGATATCGAAGAAGATGATGCCAGTGAGAGTGCGGAAGCCCTCACTGAAGAAGATGATTCCAGTGAGAGTGCGGAAGCCCTCACTGAAGAAAAGATTGTTGTCGCCGCAGTGCGCTCACAGCGCACTGAAGCTAACGAGCCAGCAGATGAGTTCATACTGGCTCGTGAAACGGTAGTCCGTTTTGTGCGAGATTCCATCGCCGAAGCGGTGGATAGAAAAAAGCAAAACGCTGACAGGAATGGAAGGGCAAACACTCTTTTATTTAATAAAGGTGACTTAGTCCTACTGTCTACGGTTAATCTACCAAAGCATGTAGTGACTAACTTGGGTAGCAGTAAACTACTACCCAAGTACATCGGCCCATTTCGTGTATTGCACCGCCTAGGCAATGCATACACGATCGAGTTACCACGTAAGATGCGAACGCATCCCACGTTTTACGTTTGTCGGCTCAAGCCGCACCATCAGTACGCTGCTTCTTCCGATGAAGAACGCCCTTGCGCTCAAGCATCTCGCAGAGAGCCTTGTGCTCCCGATGGTGGGCATCAACAAGGGTCTGAAGAGCAGTTATCTCAGCCCGAGACCGATCAACATTCCCACGAGCTACCCTTAGCTCGTCACGAAGAGATGTCAGAGATCTCTCGTTCTCAAGCTGAGCAAAGGCAAACTCAGCTCGATGCTTCGAGGCAGTGTCCGCCATTTGGAGACGCCTATTCCGCTCATGCTCGAGATCGTCGCGTAACCCTTGCGTTACGCGATCAAAGAAGCTCTCGGGAACACACCGATCCACATGATCGTGTGGAGAGCGTCTTTCCTCCTCCTCCACCTCCATTAGAGGACTCTCGCGGTGGCCAGCGCTATCTAGTTGAGCAGCTGTTGAACCACCGCGACGTGAACGGACGTCGGACGAGTTATCTCGTCCGGTGGCGCGGCTATCCCCCGTCCTGGGATTCTTGGGAGCCCCGCTCCCAACTGATGATCGACGTACTGGGTCTGGTTGAGCAGTACGACGCGGCACATCCTGTGCCGCAGAAGGACCGCCGGAGAAAGTCTTTCCGGCACGGTCGTAAAGAGATTTCAGGTTGTCAATCCCTTCGTACATCTCAGTAGAGACACGTACGCGCCACCAAGGGCTAGTAAGGAGGTAAGCCTCCTTAGGTGCTCGTGCAGAGTTGTTCACACAACATGGGCACGAGTCTCCCCAAGAGAGGCAGGGTAATCCTTTCTCCCTTGACAGACGATGCAGCTTGTAGCGTGCACCTGTCGGGGTTCGCTTTTCAAACTTATCACGAGCTTTGATAAGTTTGTCGTTCCAAGCGTCACGACCTACATCCTCGAGGTTATGGATGTAGGCGTTCCACGCCTGAAGTAGTGAGGGACCATCACGTTTGTGATTCCCACTGTACCATCGATGTCTGAAGAAAGCATCGATGAAGAACTCATGTTCAGCGCGATAGTCTTTCGCGCTGGGGTCAAGGTGATGGATCCTTGACGAATCGAACAATCGTGTTCGATAACGATCACTCGTCGTCGCCGACAAGTGATCCATGACAGATTTCGGAGGCATCCATGCCTTCTTTTCTGGAGCGAGACACAACACATTGCGGTCCCGCTCTTCCTGCGACGTGCCGACAGAAGTACTGGCACCTCGCTGCGAAGTGGTGTCCATTGGAGAACCGACACCACTATTAGCGCCCGAGTCTCGCGACCTCGAGCGCCTTCGCTTCGGCGATGGTTCATCTGATTCGTCAGATGAACCAAAGATGCTGCGACGCAAAGCATCGTCCATGCCACGCTTGGCAGGCGGCTTGGATTCAATTGCCGTCGATACGGATCCGTCATCCGTATCAGGAGAGTACGAGACACCGAGCTCGTACTCTGTGAAGACACGAGTGTCTTCATGACCAGCGCCTGCATCACCAGGTGATACAGGCTGAGTCGATTCAGCAACCGATGGGACATCAGTTGCTGTAGTTTCTGCTTCGGCGTCCGCACAGAGACGTGCAGACGCGCTCTCGGCGGCCTTGCTCGCGCATCGCATGGGCTTGTTTACCATGCGATGAAATGTTGGAAAGTGGACGCGGACCAACAAGTGCAAACCCTGTCCCAAATGATTTGGGACGAGTATCCATTTAGTCAATCAGTCACTAAAGTGACTGATGGTTAAGGGGGGGTGATGTAACGGGGTGAATCGTTAGATAACAATTTATTAGAAATTGTTAATAGAATATAACTATAAGAGTTATATTCTCAGAATATTGTCATAAGGACAAATATTCTGTAGCACTTACGAGTAGTTCCTAATTGGTTGATATAGGACATTATATCAACCAACGAAGACGCGCCACGACAGACGCACGCAATGAGTGGTGAGCAGATAACTGATTTACACATTTGTATTTAGACATAGTTAGATGAAGATAAATAGGGATTTAGTGCGGACATTAACTATTATAAATACAGTTCTACTTTTTACTTTAACCAAGTACTCGCTTCTTCTTACCGTCTTCCTCTGCACGTACGAGTGTATGTGAAATTCCGAGGCACGCCTTATTCTGTTATCAGAATAAGTAGCTTGTACTGTCACCAGTACAAGCTTCAGGGTGCCCCGTTACAGCACATCAGTACTGGGGAGGGCATTGTCATCAAGTTTGGGCTCGCCAGTAGATGAGCTGTGAACGACGTGACCCGCGTTGCGCTAGTCCTTCTTGCCCAGTCATAACTACTACAGTATCTTTTCTTTTCCACTGAGACGTATATCCGTGCATTGTGCGCGTTGCCCACTGCGCCGCTCACGATTATAGTGGCTGTGAACCGACAGCCGTCTCCATCTTGATCCAGTATCCCTTCTCCCACACTCGCACGCACAAACTGCTCCTTGTGATCAGCATTTTTTAATGGGGATGTACTGCTAAAAAATCGCCTTCTTTCACCTTGTCGTACATATACTGCAGCTTGCCCAACAAATTTCTTATCCGACTGTGCATGTCTAGAGTGCGCGAGACTGGACATGTTTTCCTAATGGTCGTGTTGTCTGAAGGTGCTGACGGGGTGATGCTGGCTTATGGTTTCGTTTATGAATAAACTCTCTGTACGTTCGCCACCGTACAGCATTAGTAGTGCGCTGCGTAAGGGTGGCATAAAAGTTGCGTCCTTGCTTTGTGGATGTCAGCTGATGACATGCCACGGAGCCGCTACACGTTCAAGACCGTCGATCACGTGTGTTTCGCAACTGGTGGTGTGATTGACATTCATCTGGGTTATATTTGATTTGATTTTGTGAACGCTGAAGACGTGAATTGACACCGCTGAGAAATATTGGCAGATGATGCGCGCGGACAAGTGCCACAGCTGAGCACGCAGGGACTTGGGTCTAGATACGTGAGTCTGCTGCGGGTGAAACATTTTAAGTAACTGGACCTGTCCCGTGACGTAACTATCGCTTTCCGGTATCGCCTTAACAATTTGCAGCCGATCTTGAGAGTCTTTGCTTTGAGGAGAAAGGGTTCAGCATCTCCAATTCTATCGCGAATTAGCAAGGTGGTCGGTGCAACGCTGTTTTGGGCCGTTAAGATAATCCCCAGGTTGCTTGCATTGAAAAAGTAGATGCAATGAGATTACGCTGTCTAGTAGCATGCCAAGATAACTGGAGCCAGTCCATCCATGGGATATCACTGCAGGCACATTGTTTACCGCTATTTTTCGAGTAGCACGACATGTGTCACGAGTCTCCGACAGCAGGCGGGAAGCAGCCGATGTTGTTGTCCACACACACCATTACGAAGACTTGAAAGTCCTACGCACTAGGCAAACTCCGCAGCCGTCATTGTCACCAAAGCTAAGTTGTCCAGCGGGGCGACTTCAACAGGCTAAACCTCCGTGCCATTATCGTACCAACGGTCAGATTGGTTTTGTTTTAAAACACTGGGTCCTGGAGATGAGACACACTATCTGGATCAGACAGTCAAGGTAGTGGGTGAATACGGGAGATGCCGATCAGTTCTAGCGAGGATGTAAGCGCCATTCTGCTGGTGCATTTTCCTTCGTGCGATTTTTATGGTCGGTAGACGAGTCCTAGTCGCGTCTGCGTTTCAAAAAGTCGTTAAAGATGCGTACAAATCAGCGACATCGATATGATACTGCGGCATCGAGACTTTGCGTGGAATGGCAGAGGTTGCTCGGGGACTTCGGTTCAAAAGAGATGCACAGAAAGGTTATTGACATATCTTGAACGGATCAGAGGTGTGCCACACACTGCTGCTTTTTCTAATTAGTCATTCTGTGTGTGTTGCTGTTCCCCGTATTTGATACAAGGTTCATTCATCAATAATCTTCGGTACTTTGAATTCGCCACGACGATGCGTAGCTTCACATGACGTCAACATGTAATGAATGCTGTAGTACACAAAAGGTATGTTTCTTCTCTTTTTAATTCTTGAGCGTAGCTGATTACTACGAAGGTGATAACTAACCTGCTGCACACGCAATCATTTATGACGTTGTCGACACTGTCGACGTGACAACTCACTACCAACAAACTACTAGCCGCTGGTGGTGGACCATATTGCCGAGGCGACAATCAATAACACCAGAATGCCGTTATAATCCCGTACCCAAAATATAATACGGGCGTCAGCAGCCGAACCAAACCAGGTGTAATTATTTGCGGCGTGAGGGAAATGTTTACGAGCTGCCAGATTTCGCACACTTTGGCGCACCACTTTGCCCTGAAATTTCCTCGTCTTTTTGACATGAACTGCTGCGACTCAATGCGTTTCTCGTTGTCAAACGAATCTTGTGAGAAAAGTCGATCTTTATAACATGCTGCTCCAACTTCTTCAACCGCTTATCAATGATCTTTCCCTTCCCCCCTTTAACAGTATGATACTCTTGGTATTCAAATCCCTCGTATACATCCGGCGGAACGACGAAATATAGCCGCGGTTCATCAGGGTTTCCAAGCATCTCAAGAGCCTTGAGAAGCCCGTTTTGTTCACAGGGGTGCACTTGTGCACAAGTTACCTGAAATAATTCGTCGGGCTTAGCCATCGCATCCACCAACTCATAATTGCGTGAGGCAGGCTGGAGAAATTCCCCAACATCGGAATGAGTCACATCATGACCTCGCTTGAAAAAAAGCGTTTGTCGCGGACGCAATTTACGCATGCTGACTCTGCGCGCTTGTACATCGTAACATCACCTTCGCTAATAACAGCGACGCATTTTGATTTGCACTCGTCTTCGTCACCATCTGTAGCAGAAACTTTCGGTTTTAAGTGCCGAGATTCAAATGTCCCCCCTTGCGACAGCAATGAAAGCGCGAATCGCTCGAACAGAACTCCCCGTTTCACCGCATCTTCGCTGAGTTCAAGCGAAGCAGCAAGAAAATCGATCAGGTCCCTTCTCCCACGTTCGTACAACATTTCAAAAACTTTTTGGGCGATGTAGACTGATGCAAAGCCCAAACTCTTGTAACAAAACTCGTGGTTGACTCGAAAGTGGAGCAGCCGTTGCGAGACGTTACTCTCCACCCCGTTTGATTCGACACTTGCTGTGAGTATCGTCTGTAAATTCGATTTGGTAATTGCCTCCTTTTTTTTAACACTTTTTGCACTGCTTTGTCCTCAGCATACTCTAAGATGTAGCGCGCAACCCCGCCCCATTTCATATACCTTTTCTCCACAATCTCCACGGGAGTATTCGAATACAACAGCTCACGACACTTAAAAATCTCTTGCTTTGACCACACCGGCATGAACAACCTCGCGCATTTTCGTTGAAAAATCTTATACCAAACCTTTTTGCGTGGCGACGTTACAAGCATTGTCTTCGCCTTCACGCGTGATGGTTTGACACCATCCACGACGATGGTGAAAACGTTTTACGCTGCTTAAGAAAGATTTCAATGTCCGTTTTCGATCCTACGACCACCAGATTGCTGGAAAATAGAGTACGTTCCCCCTTCACTTCGGAACTCTCGTAAATTACCGTAGCTCCATCTTGTGCGAGATACAGCAACACCAAAAAGCAAAAGTAAGTCTTGCCAATTCCTGGGGTACCGAGGATGATAAGGCGCTTATAAGTTCCTTTCTTCCCGTCAAGAATGCTTCGACAAAGATCCCATAAGTGCGGGTAACAAGGACGAACGTATATGTGGGAGCCAAGCTCAGATTCATCAAGTATATATGCCTTTTTTAGGTAACGTGATCACAGCTTCCGCTACGACCGGGGTATTCATCGTTCGAAAAGCTTTCCAGAAATCAACCCGTGGTGACTTCATCATCGTTGACGTGACGGGAATCGTGACGCCGCCCACAGTGATCGACTAGCCTAACGGACTAGCCATAGTCGGCGGAAGCATCACCAGCACGTGGACCACCTTCTTTCCTAGCAAGACGCCAGTACCAAACAGACTGGGCTTTCCTAATCGCCACGACGCGCGCATCTCCTCCATCCCATCGAGAAATCCTTCGGTCTGAATCAAATTGTCCAAATCACCGTCGTCTCGCAGCCACGCCCCATCTTTTTTCGCCAGGAAGAGCCGCAGCCCTCTAGCATCGCACAAGATATCCACTGCGTTCTCCTCCTTGATCACGTTTTTCAAAATCCCCACCACTTCATTCGTGTCGACATCCACGACGAAAGTACTTCGAGGTAATCCAACGATCGCACAAATTAACGTGACTTGCACCATCTTTCTTTGACTTGACAGGTTTTCGACTGGCCAAATATGGGCGCCGGATGTTGTCTTCAACATGAGCAGTCACATTTCTACCAATCAAAAGACAGATCGATGCAGTAGAATGACGGCAGAACGGAAAAGACTGATGGGACACGACATGCTCTTTCAGTGATGGAAAAAGGCAGCAAGGAGAGAGAGGAAGGGATTTCATGACGGTCTATTAACATGTAATTATGTACAAGATGTCTGAAAACTCCTGAGCCAGGAAACTAAGTCCGGATCCGGAAGAGTTTCGTGACTGTTACCCGGAGGAGCCCCGATGTCTCGGGGCGCTTGAGTAAAAAGTTCGATGCTTGCATGCAAGAGAGCCCCTTGGACGACGGTATTGATACCCGATGCTCACGTTTAGCCAGCGCGAAGAGTTGACGTATCCCTGTCTCCCAAAAACGGGAGACACTATGCGATGCCGTGGTCAGCACACCCCTGAAAACCGCATCATTTCGCTCCTGCCATAAGTGGGTGAGGCACATGGTACTCATGAGAAACCAAATTCGTTTTCAGACGCGGACCCCTGCCGCTGCGTCATCTGTGAATCGTTTATGCAACCGGTGTTGCAGCCGTGGTGAGATAGCTGGGGCTTGACGATTGGCACCGCCTAAATATTGACAAGTACCAAACAGGTCTGCCACAGTTTCACCGGTCCAAAGACTAATTAATTTTGACCAACACGAAAGCGCCTTCGGGAAATCTCAGAATATGTGAGCCAGTGTTTTTTGAACTCCTCGACATGCTTGATGTGCACGGCAGCTATTGTCGTCGTTATGATTCTCGTGGTAAAGGTTGAGTTGCTTGGTTGCTATACGATATCAAGTCCACACCTAATATTCTGTGAGCCCACGTGCTTGGTCCCAAACTTGAGACGGTCGCTGATGCGCTAAAGCTCGCTGCCATTGGTCCGTTCTATTGGCAGCTTCCGGGCGCTGCATCAGTGGTCGTAATGCTACAGCGAGCTGACGTTTGTGAAGCTTAAACGACAGGCGGGATACTGTTGTGCGAATGGATGCATTTGACACCGCATCTGCGACCGCCCCAGGAAACCGATGATGTCGAGGATGAGCGTATAACACTACGCCGTGCTGCTGGAGCTGTTCAAGCCATGTTGCCCTTTCCACTTCACTTTCCGTCTCTAGTTCTGGAAGCGTTGTAGTGAAGAACCAGCTAAACCCGTCGGCCGCCTGCGTCAGGCGGATCCTAGCTTCCTCTGGGACCTTGTGACCCCTTCTCACTCCAGATATACGACCCCGGCATTCTGTGGACCAGTCATAGTCATGCCGAAAAGGAGGAGCGTGCCGAATTGTTAATCGAGGCTGGAGCGCTAAATCAGTTCCGATCCGAAAAGGTGGGGATGCCAGCAATATCGCCGTATCCCATCGTCGAGACTTGGGGTGCGAATGGTTGGTAACGTACTGTCCAGACAGTAGTATGCTGAAGACTAACTCAAACGGCCCCGTCCGCCTAATACGCAAGTCCGAGCCGGAGCAGGGGACAATTCGGTCATACGTAGAGCCGAGCAACTGCCTGCCCCGTGAATCCCGGATATATGATTTCTTGCACCATCCAAGCGTCCCCCAGAATTGGTGAATAGATTTCAAGTGAGGATCCGTGTGTGATAATGCTTCAGGAAAGGTCGAGTGATAAGACAGAACTTAGTCATCCTCTTCCCACCAGCTACCTGCACCGGCGAGTAGGCTTGGTGTGTACGCACATACCCGTTTCCCGAACAGGCATAATTGGTCGTCTGTAGGCTCCAGGAGCTTGTCGATATCCGCTATGAATGAAGTTATAGGAGGATTTGACAAAGAGGTTGACCAACCCCCTGACCGCGGCCGCTCGTGCAAAACAAGTGCTGAAGTAGTCGGCTGACCCCGAAAAGCTCAAAAATGCCACGCTCCAAAATACTTGTCTCTAGCTTGCGTGAGCCACCGGAGAGCGTATTTGGTTCGCTGTGTTTTAATAGCAACCTCGAACGATGAGAGCCCTACTCCCCCGGCCTTAGTTGGAGTAAAGAGGAGACCCGGATTAATCTTGTGACGGCACGCTTCTGTGGTGGTAGCGTGTGCCCACAAAAGTTATTTGTACAAATTGTGTACGTCCCTGATCGCCTAGTCAGGAATGTCGAAAACCGCAGCCGTGAACAGAAGTGCCGGTAGGATAATGGAATTCAATACTTTCACGCAATTCTCTACGCTTGTAGCAATCGTGGAAGCCGTGAATAATCGCCGTTGAAGCTTCCTAATGCGAACCGCTTTATAACGATGTTGTAGGTCGCCAGTACCCACTTCATAGCCCAAGTACCGCACTGTAATCACAGGTTGAAGGACGGATATGCCACAAAACGTCTGTACGCGCACCCCTTTATTAAGAAAAATCAGCTTACTCTTGGCCGCCTGAGCGACCAGCCCAGACATAATTCCAAAAAGAGAAAGTATCCGGAGCGCCTCGTCAAGCTGACACGCTTTATCTGGAAAAATCGTTGAGTCATCAACAAACGCTAAACACGGGTGCAGACCCCCTGTGCCCCCTGGTACCGAAAGTCCTCGCAAGACGGGCGATTGTTGAATCGCGATGCCCAGTAACTCTACTACGATTAGAAAATGTGGAGGAGCGAGAGGGCGGCCTTGACGAATACCCGATACCACTGAGAATGGGTCGGATTTTTCTCCGTTGAATAAATAAGGTCGCCGTGGTTCCTGTATGAAGTTGACGGATCAGCTGTACGTATCGCTCCGAAAAGCCAAATCTCGTTAGAGCCTCGTAGAGAAATTCCCTGTCCACAGTGTCATAGGCCTTGCGAAAGTCCAGCAAGAGAATGACCCTGCTATTAATGTTGTCAGGGTGTCGTCAATGGTAGCCGTCGCTAATTGAGAGAGCATTATCATCACTAATTTGCGCATCTGCCTGCCGTGGACGAACCCTTGCTGCGAATCTCCAATAATTGTGGGCAACACCCGTTGTAATCGGGTCGCTTATACCTTAGTAAAGATCTTGTAACTAGATTGAAGCAAGGCGATAGGCCGGTAGTCCATCGCATCCGCTGAATCACCTTTTTTCCTCAGTGGTATGATCAGGGCCTCTAGAAAAGAGGGTGGAGGTTCCGCGCTACTCATTATTTTATTGCTAACCCTTACAATAGCGGGGACCATCAGAGCCGTCGTATCCTGAAGAAAATCGTTGTTGAGACCATCTGGACCAGCGGATTTTCGGCGGCTGAGCCCTGCAATGGCTGTGAGGACCTCGGCTTCAGTAAGTTCAGCTAAGAGAGCCGCGTTGGCTGCCTTCGAGATAGCTCGCTCCGTCGGAATGTGCACGAATTGCTGAATGGCCGCGTTGAGGCCGTGAAAAGGCTGTTTTCGATGAATGACACCGAGTACTGACGATAATTCGGATGCAAATCTGTCCGGTATGGACATGTTTCTGGTGAATGCTGGACCGTACTGCTGTAGGATGGTTGTGACGTGCTGGTCACGCTCCCAATCGGACACTCGGTTATATATCCATCTTAATCGGTCTGTCGATCTGACGAGGTTTTGGCCGAGCCGTACAAGATGCTCTTGCCGTAAGTCTTCTATGTTGCTTGAAATCCATTGTAGCCGATTAAACAATGGCCTTTGTGTGCGATGCTTTGAGTTATGACGGAGCCGTGCACGGCGCTGCTTCACCCGCTTGCTTACGAGGCGAATGCAGCGTTTGCACTCGGCCACCTCAATGTCCCAAGTAAGCGTAGATGCAGCTTGACCAATAGCCATGCCATCCATATCCTTGACTTATTCGACGATAAATTGAGCGGGACGGGATGATTGAATTAAGTAAGCCACTGCTCGACTCCGTAAATGTCGACGAGGCCTGCTCGTATCCTTTAAACACAGAACCACCTCCTGATGATCCGAATTTTGAAAAGGGACACGCGTCTCAACCCAATGGACTCTGTCCACCCAAATAGCAGGGACATAAAATCGATCAATTCGGCTGGCTCGATCACCCACTATATATGTGAAATGATCCACAAAATCGTCAGTTGTGTCGTCATCCGCATGTTCCTGCAGCACTCTAGCATCTGCTAAACCGATCCGAGAGATGACGGTGTTTAAGGCAGGACTTTCCGACCTGTTGGAACGGTGATGTCCAGCACGATCGAGAAGAGGACTTTGTACACAGTTAAAGTCTCCAGCGATGATCGTGTTGATGGGGTCCAGATTTCAAGATAATAGAGAGGTGGAAAAGGCCTCGCGTTCCGTCCGTAATGTGGAAGCATGCAGATTGACGAGTAGGATGTCTCCAATCGATATACTTAATGCGCGCGGACTCCAGCGATCCTGATGACATGCTGACGAGTGGACAGCTGAGAGCGGGGTCAAAAGAATTGCTAAGCCCAGCGTGTCGTGACGAGCCCGTACTCCAGAACGACAATGGAGGAGCACCGGGCTTTAAATGCTGACCCCACAAGCGAACCCACTGGGCACTCAGTTGAGACGCTTCATCCACTGTGTGGACGTGCGTTTTTGGATACACCACGCCAACACACGTTGTCCAGGAGTCTGTCGTCGCCAAGCCGCCATCCAACCAGCACGGGTGCTTTCTTTAGAAATTTGCACGTTTTGAGTAATTATTACTTCATCACCGACCCGTCGCGGATTTGTTTACTTGTTGGTGTCAGGGGGAGTGGTCCAATCCTGAAGCAAGCGAGCACGTCCATAAACGTCGACTTCCTCCAATGAACAATGACGAAGACAGGAGTAAATGTGCAACCGTGAGCTGCCCTCAGTATATAAGAAGGAACCTCTCCTTCGCAGTTGCCAACGATGTAGAGAAAAATTGTACGAGTGTTCGCCAGTTTACCCGGTGATGATCCGATGAGTAATATGCCCCTTAATAGTGACTGTTTCGTCGTAGCAGGCGAACATGACAACGTAGTTTATCGGGGAGAGTGAGCGGATGTACGTCATCCCCCGTCAATGCACGTATCTCCTTGTCAAACAAATCAGCGCAAAGTAGATGGTGACTTAGACGGATTCGTCGTCGCGGGTCACATAGCGTTAAGATTTCATCTTTGGCATAGTTACAGTCTCATAGTTTCCTCTAGTCATCTCCGTTGTCAATTAGGGAAGAGAGAGAGGAAGAGGATTGACTCTACAGCGCGCGTGAAATCCATTGGTCTAACCACTGTGAGGTGGTGGCATCCTTCACCCTAAGACGGTACGCTTGAAGACCCGAGAGCAGGCACTCCTGTCGCCACTTGGATGTCCACTGCACAAAAACCTGGTCTGCTAAGCTGGCTAGTAATTCATCTGGAAAGACAAAGCGTCGTACGTGATGGAGTAGAAGATTTGACTCCATTCGCGCAGTTGTGAGCCACGCCTCCGTTCCACTATGAACTAAAGGGTATGACGTCTCAGCCGTGACCGGCCATTCAGATCCTGAGGCGCACCAAACCGATGGCCACTCCTGACGATCAATACGTCCGTCTGAGGAAGCCATCTCGAAATGTTAAGGACTAACCGTGACTCTGCCTTTATTTGGTTTAGATGCCCCCAGGGAACTGGGATCCTCGTCGTCGTCCATGCCATCCGCTTCAGACTGCGAGGTGACGAGGCCCCGTTTTTGCGCCATCACATTCACTTCCATATATCCATCGCTGAAATCCTCGGGAACCGAAGTCGGCTGCGAAGAACGCAATACCAACGCCTGACTGTTTTCCCCTGGTCTGAGTGCACGACGAGCGAGGTTGTTTGGCTAGCGCTAGTCAGAGTGGTTGTCACCTGTCAAAAACCAGATGAAGCCTGCACATGTAGTGCCAATTGTGTAGCGCCGGCTACCGCAGGTAGCTTTGAAAGCTGTGACAGCTCTGCGTTCGGGCCGTTTAAGTCACCCGTTAGGGATGTCAGGTCTTTCGCGTTGTCCGTATGTAAGAATGCCGAATAATGGCGCCCCCAGAAACGGAGAACCAACGGCAATGTGTCTGTTACCTCAATTTTAGCCACTTGCAGATCGTCAGTGCAAGCCGTGATAGATAGAGGGTATTCCTTGGCCGTGTCGAATGCGCTACCGTGCAGCTGCACCTTTGTCGGGTGATATTTTCGACAGCTCCACTGCATGTTGTCATCCTCAACGTGGATGACAAAGAAATTCCGCTGCAGAAAAGTAGCGGCCATACCGAGTATGTCACTACCTCCCCAGCAAGATTCCGAAACTATGGTATCTCTGTCAAAAGAGGTTGCTGCAAAATCTGTTAAAAACCACCGCAGTTGAGTTGCCGACTCCTCTCTGGTCATTGTCTGCCACCCGCGTCCAACATTTTTTAATATATTGACCCTCAGGTCGTGTGGAAGCTGACCTTCCAGGTTCAGCAGCCCAGCGTACTTAAAACCACGCTTAACACTGGCCGTGAGAGGCTCCAGGACCGTGAGCGGTGCGTCCAAGGCGGAATCTGCGACGGCTTGAGCGATCGCCATCGCCAAACAGTTTCCAGTGGCTGGGGTGGGCACTTCCCGTAAGCCTAGAATACGCTTCAGATCGTTCAAATGAAAAGGGCCGGTCTCTGGACGAGGATCTATCGGGAACGAAGTGCACCGTCCTTTCTGTTGCTGCTTAACCAGCCGCTTACAGGTTTTGCGTTCGAGACGTTGTTTGGCTAGGAGCGTCGGTCCCGAGATCTCGGGCGCTGCCCCTCGTCGTTTAGAGTCTTTTTGACGGACTCGATCTTCTGACGATAGGCGAGGCCTGGCCCGCGCGACGTCCGGAGCCATGTTTGGGGGAGGCTCCGATTTAATCGGAGAGTCGTCCGTGACACCGTCAATGCTAGGAGCTTGAGCGGACCCCGCACTGTTCTGCTCCGGCTCCGGCTCCGGCCCCGTCTCTTTTAATACGTGGAAACCGCCCGAGCTGAGGCTTTCGGTCGATACCGGTGGCTTGCGTGAGGGCCACAGACTCCGTCCACTTCGGAATGGAAGCTTCAGCCAAGGCTGCTCCGTCCGGGGTTTCGGTTTAGGGTCCGAGGAGCCTGCTTGCATGGCAATGGCAGGGTAAACGGGCTGAATGGGCACCCCGGTGCGCTGAGGCTCCACTGTCGGAGGCGGCCGTGGGGAATCTGTACCAACTGCCGCCGGTGTGACAGCTGCCTGAGCTGCCTCTTCTGCTGCCCTCTGAAGTTGTAGCCGTTTGCTAGCCGTCTCCCGCATCTCCTTCGGGCTAAGGATAATAAAGCCAAGTCTTCGACGTCTTGAAGCTCAGTCTCTGTGACTTCGATAGCACCTGTCCCCTTTAGTTGCGCATCCGTAAATTGGCACCTGACAGCTGGGTGGTCTTTGGTGCCGCACTGTAGGCATTTAAGGCTTCGACCCACGTTAGGGTGCTTAATGATGATCGGGGTTCCAAACCATAGAAGGCGGACTATCCCTTGAAGAAACGTTGGATAATTCGCCAGAGAGAAGGTAACTTTCCATACTGTAGACGTCCAGGAGGTTGGAGTGCAAGTATTCATATCTCCGAACTCAAAATCCGTCGGGATTTTGGACCTGAAGTAAGCCGCTATGCGTCCTACCTCGTTAAATCGTGTCACGTTGTGCAGGAAAATTGTGTGCTATGTACGTGAGTGGCCCGAACGACCATCTGGGCCTCGCTGGTTCTGCCAAACTGCCCCCCGCACCGGATGATGAGAGTTGTCTAACGTGTACACTCGTCCCTGAAAGAATATTTGAACATCCTGAAGACGTTGCGCTGTTTCCCTCGAGTTAAAGTAGAAGTGAATCGTTCGGGATGAGCGATTATAGCTGATAGCCTTCGTTAATCACAGGAAGCGATGGAGATCCGTCAGACTGACCCGCAGACGCTCCGCGAATTTTGGGTATCATCGCCGTGAAACCGTTAGAAGTCTGTCGGCTGATCGGAATGTAACGACCTCTACCAATAGTAAGAACCAGTGTCCTTCGACCTGCGCCTGGATTGTGCTGTAGAGCCTTAGAGGTTCCCCACTATCTAAGACAGATCGTAGAAAATCTGGCGTCCGACGACACGCGATATGTCCTTCAGCTATGCCCACGATGACTCGCCATTCGTTGTCTGTGCCCTCTCGTAAACGATGAGCGCGAGCAGGACCGAGACGTGCGGTACAAATGTCTTTGAGCTTGGTTGCCTCTGCCGTGGAACATTGTGCTGGGTTGAACAAAAAGTCATTATACACAATAGACGCGTGCCCCTGCTGCCCTTCCTGGATGGGCTGTGCTCCTTGGCGCACCACCCGCGCCCATAGGTCGGGGACCGGCGCCGTGGCCCACTTGTGTTGGCTGGCTAGTTTTCGAATAATCTTTTTAAAGGCATACTTGGTGAGCAGAATATCTTTACCTATCTTGGTAGCAAGTCGCGTCCAATCGGCATATTTGCCGAAACTCCGAGCAAAACACTGCCGAAATAAATCGAGGAGGCCGTCCAACTCCGGACCCTTTAGCTTTGGAAAGCGTTTACGCTCTTGCGGTAGAGCTTCCATGCTAACCGGAAGCCATGAAAATACGTGTTCAAACATCTCCTGAACGGTCTGACGCCATACATCGACGTACCCCGGCTCGGTGATGCCTTCATCTCTTCAACTAGGGCAATAAACATGCCTCGGGGGGATGCCGGAGAAGGCGAGGTGTTGAAAACCGACGCTTCCGAATGAGTCGATTGGCCAGGTGTCGGGGCTCGCGACGGATCCAACAGCGGATTCTCTGCCCCAGCGGGTGCCGCGGCTCGCGACGGATTCGACGATGGATTGTCTACCCCAGCGGGTGGCGAAGCTCCGGAGGAAACAGTAGGAGCTGGGATACGTGCGTGAGCAGACATATCTTGTGGCATCTGGTCGATATTGCACGCTTTAGGTGAGAGTCGATGTTGGTATCCATATCTGCCTCCGGGGCAACGGTTGGTGCGAGATGATTGGCCCCATGCGGCGCGATGCTCGGCTTACACTCCCCCGTCACTGGTGCCGGAGGCAGTGCTATACTACCTTCACTTTCCTGAGGTACGGTCGACCGAGATTGGGCGCCCCCTCCCCCATCGGGTGGGGGGCTTGGTGACGGCTTTGTAGCCGTCGTTTGAAAGATGCTGGCTGACGCCATAAGTGCCTTTTTTATACTCCCCTACCTATTCACTGCAGATTGAAGAGTGGAAAAGGCAGCAAGGAATGCGATTCTTCCTCAGGGGTTTACTGGTTGATCCTAGTAAGTAGAAAGGCCAGAACAAGTCGATGAAATCACCATTTTCAATCAATCAATTAATCAACTAATCGATCTGATCCTCCATCTGCAACGTCTTACACATCATCAAAGAGTGGCGACTCCTGTTTTTCCTTTTTTCATAAAAGGAAACCTTTCGCTGCAACGGGGTGGGGTAGTGACAGCAAGCAACCACCCAAAAAAACAGCTCGTCGTCATCGTCTACAAAAAAAGCCGTATCATCGTCGCTCTTTAACTCTATTTTTCAGCCCAAAATAGAGTCTTCGCTTTTATAATTAGACACAAACCATCACAAAACAACAACTAGACCACCACCACCAGGAGCTACACATCCGCTTGTCGTCCCAAGTCTCTCGTATGTCTCAGCTGCAGCAGCAAAAGCGCGTCGAAGCAGCCGCGCAGCTCAAGCAGGCGGAGAAAGCCCTGACAAGGCGCTCGTTCTTCTGTGTCTCACCCAACTACCTCTCGGCCGCGCCGCTTCTGAATAAAGTGGGGGAGCTCTTTCGACTCGGGAATGACTGGGAAGCTAGTGGAGACGCGTTTCGGCGCTTTGCAGACGCGCAACAGCACAATCAAGTGCCGTTTCGGCCGCGCAGGCATGGGAGGATGTGGCCAAGACGGTTCTGTAGCAGGCACAAGCAGAGGGGTCCATTCGGACGATGTCCAGCCAGAAGTCACGGACAGGGGAAGCTCGCCAGGCGTTCGAAAAGGCTGGTGGCTTTTACGTGGTCATGGGAGAGTTTGGGAAAGCTGCTGATGCACTGGTTAAGGACGCACAGACCTGTGAGAGTCAGGGGTCAAGTGTGGACGACGTGCTGCCGCTTTACACACACGCGTGCGAGCTCCTCGGGGCTCAAGACAAGCCCCACTTTGCAGTCGAGACGCTCTGCAAGATGCAGGGTTTTCTCGTGAATATGAGATATACCGCGACGCAATTGCATTGTTGGACCGTCTGACGGCGTTGTATGAAGCTATGGACCAGCCCCACAATGTGCACAAGTGTCGCTTGAGCCAAGTCATTCTTCACCTGGCATCGGGGGACGTACCAGCAGCTGATGCTCTGTATTCAAAGTGCTTGCAAGATGACGCGTTCTTGTCGTCGAACGGTTGTGTCTTTGCAGAAGACCTCGTGTGGGCCTCTAAAACGGGCAACGAAGACCTACTGCGAGCTACGGTATGGAAGCCGGGATTTCTTGCACTGGACAACCAGATTGGACGCGTTCTTGTCGTCGAACGGTTGTGTCTTTGCAGAAGACCTCGTGTGGGCCTCTAAAACGGGCAACGAAGACCTACTGCGAGCTACGGTACGGAAGCCGGGATTTCTTGCACTGGACAACCAGATTGGACGCGTTAGTCGTAAGTTATCGATCTACGGGTTGGGAGATGCTGCGGCTGGTGGTGCTAAGCCGCGAGGTCGACACCAGCACGGGACAGCTCCGTCGTCGAGTGGGAAACGCACACAAGAGCAACAGCAGTCAGGCAAGCAACGCAACCCGTTTGCACCTTCTGCACGAGCTCCTTGTGTAAAATGGAACTCGTTTACATCTATTTCAAGAGCGCCAGCACAAGCCCCAGTGCCTTCACTCACGTCGGAGTACAGTCGTCCGGGGCGCCGACAACAGTGAGCACTGATATTTCTGACAGCGATTACGAAGCTGCTGCTTTGTCCGAAGCCCTCGGCGCCGTTGCTGTCACAAAACAGGCCAAGACTCATTCACGATCGGCTTCGGTTCCCAAGTGTCTGCAACCCGCGTCGCCAGAGCCAGTTGGCCTGTCCTTATCGCTTGGGCTATCACCGATCATGGCTTCTTCGTCGTCGCCTGCAGCAGTGCGTGCAAGCGCTTGCATGGATTTTGGATGTGACGACTTGGAGTACGCCATGCCGGATTCCGACTCGCTCGGGTTTTCCATGGATGAGCCGATTGGGGTTGATGTAGGTGAGAGGTCGGATTCTTTTGGAACGCCTACAGCACCGGCATCCAAGACAAGGTGCCAGTGCAAGAACTTAAACCAACGCCGAAGGCACCCGCGCACGATGAATTTGATCTCACATAAAGCAACGAAGGTCATAGCTCGGAGCCAACCGGGTTGCGATGTGTTTTTGTATTCAGCCGAGTTTGGTTGCAGTGCGCAGCCACGTTTGACTAAAACCAAAGGAATTGTTCGCCAGGGACTTGCTGAGCTTGTGCACCACTAGACGTTCTAGTATCTCACCCTGACTAGTGTCTCCTTTCTACCAAGGCCTATGACGTTATCCTATCTGATGCTTGTCACACCTTCACATTCGCATGCTCGGTACACCATCGAGTGGTCGCATGAAGTTTGTCACTACATCATTCACTCGTAAGACGTCAGTGAACATTGACTCGCTAAAGTTCAGCTTGGCCCCAACTATTTCCTTCGCAAGCAGAAGCCTGGAGAGCTCTACACTTCGATCTCACTTGCAACGTTACGCTTTTTCGATTGCAGTCAACCGGTTCACAGTAGCTTCGACTCCTTCTAGTGACGCAATGTGAACGCTACACACTCGTAACACATATGCGCCTTATTGGTGGGCGGGGCTAGTCCGTACCTCGAATTTTGCTATTCCGTACTGCAAAGCCATCAAACGCTTTTACGAACAGCTCATTAGCTCAATAGTTAAATTTATTTGTGTTATGCTATGCATACAAGGTCAGAGGTGCGGAGATCAAAGAGCTTCCATTGACTAGGTTTAGTTTTCTGCATGTCACCCTTTGCCTACAGCTTAAAACGACTCGAATAACGTAGCTGAGCACACCCGCGCTGTGGAGTTACGTCATAGAGCCATCGGTAACGGTCCGGAATGGCAGCAGCAGGCGGGTTGAACTCAGCAAAGAGCAGGAACGTGACGTTTATGAGGACGCCTACAACGGCAACGACTTCGCCACTGGACAGCAAGTAGACGAGCAGCTGGCTCAGGAGCGTCTGCATGAGCACGGAGTGGGAGATGTTGAGCTAGAAGAGCACAGTCTTGTTGAAGGACCACATGCCGAGGAGAGGGAAGAAGGCAATGGTGAAGAGGAGACTGCTGCCAAAGATGTACGAAATCTCGACGAACGTGATGCCGAGGATGTATTAGAGATTGTACGTCTGCGCGTTGCACTCGCAGTAGTAGACGGCTCGTTACCGCAGGCTGGAGGGCAGACAAGCAACGTACGTCACATATCCTTGCTATAGTGTTGTCATGAAATTAATACCCACGGCCAAATTCAGCCCTCGGTACAATGTGTAGTTGGCGTTGACGAGCACGAGGCCGAAGATGATAGCCGGATGAGCGCGAGCCAACACCGAGTCAAGTTGGTCGATGGTGTTCGCCAGCACATTGACTGGAATCGCTGCAATATCAATCAAAGTTGCATCCAGGAAGTAGTTGCTCGCTTGCGCTGAAACACTAGCTTCGGTTGACTATCGGGTGCAGTAGTCGTCACACCAGGTTCAGCTCGACGAGTCAGCAATATTTGATGCTTCATAGACAGATTTGGACATTGGTAATCTTCCCGTTGGAGATTTTCGACCCGTCCCTATGGCTCAGCACAAATTCCAGTCAATGGAAGCTCTTTAACCTCCGTACCTCTGACCTTCTATGTGTAGCATAGTAAAAATAAATTAAATTATTAAGCTAATTAGATGCTCGTAAAAACGATTGACGGCGTTTGCAGTACGGAAAAGCAAAATCCAAAGTACGGGATAGCCTCGCCCGGAAAGAATCGCATTCGTTGCTGCCTTTTCCCATCACTGAAAGAGCGTGCCGTGTCCCATCAGTCTTTTCTGTTATACCGTCATTCTACTACATCAATATGTCCTGTAATTGGTAAAAATGTGACTGTTCATGTCGAAGACGATATCCGGCGTCCAGACTTGGCCAGTCGAAAACCTGTCAAGTCAAAGAAAGATGGTGCAAATCTCGTTGCTTTGTGCGATCGTTGGTGTGCCTCAATGTGTTTCCGCCATCAAAATCGACACGAATGAAGTGGTGGGGATTTTGAAGGATGCCATTAAGGCGAAGAACGCAGTGGATGTCCTGTGCGATGCTAGAGAGCTGCGGCTCTTCCTGGCGAAAAAAGATGGGGCGTGGCTGCGAGACGACGGTGATTTGGACAATTTGATTCAGACCGAAGGATTTCTCGATGGGATGGAGGAGATGCGCGCGTCGTGGCGATTAGGAAAGCCCAGTCTGTTTGGTACTGGCGTCTTGCTAGGAAAGAAGGTGGTCCACGTGCTGGTGATGCTTCCCCTGACTGTGCCTGGTCCGCAAAGTGAGCCAACTACGGTGGGTAATGCTCACAGTACGAGTCAATTGGTGCTTTCCATGTTCGACAAGTTGAGCCGATTGCTTTGGGAGATACTCAGCCGACTACCTATTCTGCAACGCGATACAATTACTGTGGGTGGTCTCACAATCCCCTTTGCGCCAACAATGTGGAAGGATTCTTCACTGGACAAATTTTGGAAAGTTTTCCGAGAGTGTTATACTGGTGCCGACCTCGCAGCTGGTGCTGTGATCGCGTTGCCGGAAGACACATTTATTCTTGGTAACGAATCGCTTGGCTCGCATATATACATTCGTCATTGCTATCCGCAGCTATGGAATACTTGCTTGGATACTTTTGAGCGTGCACGTCATCTTGTAATTCTTGGCAGCCCGGGAATAGGCAAGACCTATTTCTGCTATCTAATCTTGCTGTATCTTGCACGTGATGGAAAAACAGTGGTTTACGAGACAGGTCGAAGGAAGATGCGTATATTGTTCAGTGGTGAACTGGTGGTTCAAGGATCGCGATCGGATTTTGATAAAATTCTTGACCTGTGTGAAACTTTTTACATTGTTGATGGCATGAAACCACAAGATTACAAGGCGAAGACGATTCTTGTCACGTCGCCACGTCATGAAATCTGGTTTGATTTTCATAAGTTTGATTGTGGGAGGTTTTACATGCCTGTCTGGACAGAGGAAGAGATTTTTCAATGTCGTGAGCTCATGTATTCGGACAGACCTGTAAACGACGTGAAGGAATGTTATCTTAAATGGGGCGGCATTGCACGCTATGTCTTACGCTATGCTATTGATCAGGACCAACAGAAATTGTTTGATGAGACAATTGCTAAGGTTGATTTGAAGGCGCTGATCAAGTCGCACGGAAAATCAGGCGGGAACGATGAGTTGATATCGCACTGGGTGCTTCAATAACGTGTCAACGACGATTTTGCCGAACAGGGATATGCATTTGCTTCAAATTACGTGCTTGACAAAATTTATCAGCAATTGTTCGAGCACAACAGGGCCAAACTAGTGGCGTTCCTTGATGCCTCTCGTGGCATTGACTTATACGCAGTGATACGTGGACGTGTTTTCGAGCGATACGTGCATTCAGTGCTGCCACAAGGTGGAAACTTTCGAGTCCGGCGTCTGACTGTGGGTTCGAAACATATTACTGCAGGTGTGAACGAGGGTGAGAGGAAGGTCAAACGCGCCGTTGTTGATGAAGATGTCGGAACCGTACACTTGCCGCAGCTGAAAAATGTTGTTTTCGAGCGAGACGAACAAGTGACCAGTGCTGACTTGTCGACATACCTGCGGCCAAAGGCAAGCAATTTTGAATCAGTGGATGCTATGGCCACGCCCAATATACTCTTCCAAGTGACTTGTGCGCGAGTGCACCCTTGCAAACTTAAAGGGCTCTGTAGGGTACTGGATTTGCTTGGAAATCCAGCTGAACCACGGTTGTACTTCGTTGTACCGCCCGATATATTCGATGATTTCAGATATCAGACCTACCAGCGTAACGAGAGGAAGAAACAGAAGGATGAGGACAACATTGTGGAGAAGCTGGAGCAATTTGTAATGGAAGTCAGCTACGCTCACGAGATTCCTCGCATAAAGGAAGCGGAAGGTGAAGACCCCATGAAGAAGAAGGCGAAGAAAGTTGAGGACAACGTCACACGTGAAAAATGCGGACTTGTCAGTGAGTGAGATTATCTGATGCCGCTGATGAGGCTATCGTTTGTGTTAAACGCAGGCGCTGGGTAAGCGTATTCTTCATATTCGAGTTGCCGCCTGGTAGACGAGGTTATAGATGGCGTCGGTGCACCGTTTGGAAAGATGGGCCAGTACTAGCACCAGTGCACCATCCGTTTTTACGTCGACCACGTCATACCAGCTTTGCATGTGGACCAGGAAAGCAGGATGTGAAAACGGATGACCAGGATAGCAGGATGTGAAGACAGATGCATGCGGAGTACGGAACTGTTTGTAATTATCAGCTTTTCTGAAGATCCGATCAATCAAAAAACCACTTTTTGCACCGGACAGCATCTGCAACATATTACCAATTGACGTAAGCTGGACGGTCAGGCCACGAGTCTTGTGCAGAATCCGAGTGTCTGGCAGTGAATTAAACCGTTGTTTGTAACGGTTTGAGCCACTGCCAGACACTCGGATTCTGCACACGAAAAACATACTATTGCATCGTCGGAAGTCATACATTTTAACACCAAAGGCGACGACCTAGACAATTAACATCGTCAGTAGCAAATGCATCATCCTGCCACTAGCGGCTGGTTCATCAATGTCGATTCTGCTCAGCCCGAGGAGTAAGCAATACTTGACATCTGACGTTACATCGTGATGACTGCATCAGGTTTACGTCTCGGAGTTGGACGCATTTTTAGCGACTGTTTCACACGCATATGCTACTTAGGACGCGCATATCGATGATGTAAACTGCACGGAGTTAAGTTAGTAAAGTGGCGCGAATATCCATCCACCATCCACCATCGACCAGCACCTCCCGTGTATACCCTCCACCCCTTCGTCTATCGCTCGTTGTCAATATCATTCAGGCCCCCGGTATGTCGAATCAAGTTGATCTGCTGGTCCACGGTAGCAGCGGCATGTCATATGGCAGGTGCAAAGGGGTTACTTGTAATCGGGTATCTAGTTTCCTGTGTCTTAGACACACGATAAGTATCCCAATGAAAGAGATGTAGAATATCTTTTCGCTTTATAGGAGCTGACTGGTGGTAGCCACCAGATAGGAGATATCGTAGTTGTACTAACTAAGGACACAAGTGTCTAGATTAAGATTAAGATATTCTATAGATCGAAATGTAAATAAAATTCAGTTTCCCTTTCGATCCTAAAGACACGTGCCTTGCGAGGCGTCTTTGGTCGTTGACCACCGATCACTGAGAGTTAGCAACACCTCCCTGAGGTAGCTAGTTTCTCTTGAGAACTAGGTGCTGTCAATATATGAATCGTTTGGTCCCCTGGAACAAGGACCATACGATCTACGCTTGTTGACTAATTGAGTATGTTCTTTAGAACTAAGTTGATCGTTGAGTGTTAAGTCTTACTTTGCCTTAAGGATCTGTGTAGCTCCCCTACACTTGGTAGCACTTGCATTTAATCTATGCCTGAGTATTAAAGACTGATCCTCTGTGAGGATGGAAACTCCCACTCCCCTCTCTGAGGCCCAAAACGTCGCGCTTGATAAGCTGACCGCATCTTTGGGTCCAGAGTACGTGGAGTTCCTTGTTTCACAATGCCCCGAGGTGCCAAATGCACGTGTTGAAGGCTTCATGTAGTATGAAGCGACCCTTCTAGGGCAGGTCCAAGATCAAGTAGCATCAGCTATACCTACACGATATGTGTCTGTACCAGACGAAGAGGCTAGGCCTCGTCCACTTAGAGTGGAAATTAAGAACTACTCTGGTAAGGAGGGTGAAAACTTCATCCTCTGTACCCGTGAGATTGAGATGACCATGAGATCAGGTCTGATCAAGCTTGACCAACAAAAGACCTCTATCGATATCTCAAAGCTCGATGGAAGAGCTAGAGAATGAACCTTGACGTGTAGCACGTCGGTTGGCCTAGCATTTCCCACATGGGAGTCGCTAAAGTTACTATTGGTACAGGTGTTCTCACCACCTAACCAAGCTTACTGCGTGCGCTCATGCTTTTTATCTACCCGTCAGGGTGAGAATGAGTTATTGGACCACGTCCAAGAGTTGAGAGCTCTCATGGCTTCAATGCAGTATGACCCTCTACCTGAGGCAGTTCATGTGACTACCTTCATGGAAGTTCTTCATACTGGCATTGCCAGAACCGAGGTTTTTCGGGTTCACCCCTCTAAGAAGCCGTGAGAATTTCTTTTAATGCTGAGCAAAACTTCAAGTCGGCCAGGCTTGGCTGGGATGAGTACAGCCCTAGCTCTGCGAGAGAAAAATGCACGAGTGGTCCGGCCTTCAATAGGCCGAAACCAGATAAATCTCAACTATGCTGAAGATGAAGGTTAAGTTGAACTTCAAGCTGCTGAGCAGCAACGCGTCGTAAGACGATGTTTTACGCGCGGAAGCACTAAACACTTGCGGTATGGTTGCCCTTTGCGTAAACAGCGTCAGGCTACAAGCCAACATTCAACCCCGAGCCAGAAGTCTGGCATGGTGCGGTGAAATGCCGACGCCCAGAAGGCGCGGGGCGCCTTACTGGGGAAGAACTGGGTTCTGTTACACATTTAAGAGGTAAATTTAAACAGGGATTAGCCTTAAAGAGCTCTGTACCAGTTGGTATGGAGCGTAGATAAAAGTCCGGCTCGTTAGTCGCCGAGACGAAATTTAAGGGCTTTGAGAAGCCTTGGTTGATCTTGATCGAACTTGGCGCGTCTTGCAGCTATGCTCGACTTCCTCCCCTTGAGGGAAGCCAGCGTTGAGCTGAGGCGCCAACAAGGCATCAGGGTGATTCTATCACGGTTTGCTTAGCGACTGGAAGTCGTGTAACTGTGCCTAAAGTACCAATGAACTCAGATATACAGTTTTTAAATTTTGACAGCATTGAACGCTGTTGTGTCCTTGATTTGAACTCGAGATGTGATCTCATCCTAGGTATGACTTGGATTGAATGCCATGAGTCATGTATTGATTGGAGGTCTAGACCTTTTGCGCCACGCGCAACGTTCCTGACGAAGTTTTGGAGAGTCGTGAATCCACCTTCGCTAGGCAACAGAAGAACTACTGGCGCGAGCCTTTGACAGAAGATGTTAATGTGCTGGACATTGGAATGTCATAGTTGTCTAACTCCTATGTTGTAAACATTGATTTTGAGCGTAGCTCGTTATGTATCAGTGATACGGTACGTACTCCGTTGAGAGTTATTCGTTGTGATAACGATTCACCGCATGCTGAAAGCATGGTTGGCCTAGAGCCGGGTTAATAAGGATGCGATTCATCTGATGTGTGTGAGGTGGCAAGTAGAAATTCACCGAGTGTGGTCGGCCGTGAAGGCACCACACTTAATGTCGGTAATGAAATTGTTGGCGAAACGCCAATCAGTTCAGGGTTCGGACCGCATAATGTACGCGGAGTGGCACGTGAAAATCCACTGGGTGAAGAGTTCGAGTCATGTAACACTTCATCGGATTTCGGTTGAGACATCGTCTCTGGTATAGAGCGTACTACTATTAGAAATAGTAAAGTAGTAAAGGGGAAAATATTGTCACGACCCCTAACGGGTGGAAGGTCTCCAAGAGACGACTTGGACGCCAGGTGGAAACTGTAAAGCGCCAGGCTTTCACACAGTCACTGAGTGATTATAGTAACACACTATATACGCTTGTTAACGGAGTGGCTGCTAAGGTTGATGGCAATGTTAGCCTTGAAACCCTTCCAGATTTGAATGCTGTGTGTGAGCTAGACAAAATGTCTGATGGCAAGTTTAATTAAGGCCTTAAAGGCAGAAGATTTATCAGAATTAGTGGTCATTAGACCCGATGTTGAGTTCAACTCGTCCTCGTTAATGGATGAGTCTGTCTTATAAGACACAAAAGCAACACTTAGTGCGCAAGGTGGATCTTCGATCCTTAACGATCCTTTGGGTCCGTTTTGTCCCTTGGTCAAGGAATATTAAGACAATATGTGTCACAATCCACCATCTATCTTACCACCTGATAGAGGTGTACGTCATGAAATTGGCTTAGTTTCAAGAACTAAATACTGCGTAACACGGCAGTGGCCTTTGCCTAAAGAACAGTGTGACATCATTGACGATTTATTTCGTGCTAAGCACGCGGCTGGAATGATTCGTGAGCGTAAATCTCCCCATTCAACACTGACATCTTGTGTCAAGAAGCCAAATGGCAAGTGGCTCATTGTGCATGCTTATAATAAGCTTAATGCGATTACTATACCGGCGCGGACGCCTATTTTTAAAAAGGACGTTATTCAGAACAATATAATAGGGTGTACATTGTACAGTGCACACGACTTAGTCGATGGATTTTACCAGCTGCTCATGCGAGCAAGTGATATTCCGCTAACAGAGGTGAGTACTCCGAGCGGTATGCTTTGGGAGTGGCTCGTTATGCCAAAAGGGCTGTCTAACGCTCCGGCTACTCTTAATCGTCTAGTGACGCAACTATTTAGACCTCATCGTGGTTACGCATAAACGTCATTTGACGACATCTTTGTCCTTAGTCGTGCAATGAATGGGCGATCAGATGTGAATAACCACATTGGTCATTTAAGAGCGGTGCTCGAGTGCATGCGCACGAATAAATTGTACGCTAATGCGTCTAAGGGCATCTTTGGTGCAGAAGAAATTCTTTTTCCAGGGTTCTTCGTTGGGAAGCTGGGCCTTCGAGAGGACCCCGATGAGTTAATGGACATATTCGACTGGCCGGTTTCTAAGAACAAAAAGGACTCACGTAAGTGTCTTGGCCTTGCCAATTACTTAAATAAGTATAGTGCGAATTACGCAGACATGGCTAGGCCATTATCCAATCTCCTGAAAAAGGATGTGGAGTGGTGTTAGGGTCATACTGTGCACGATTTGTTTATAAGAGGTTAAGGATATTCTCCTTCATGCGCCAATGTTGACTTTGCCCGATCCTGATCGGCCCTTCAGTGTCGTCTGTGACTCATCTGACTTTTCTATTAGTAGTGCTCTGTTACAAACAGATGTTGATGGACGTGAGCGCG